TTTTTTTCAAATACATTTTAATTCAGTTGCCTATGGTTAACAAATATGACAGTTTTCCCTTCCAAAACCATAGGCTACATTTTCCAGTATATATTGCCTCTGGATCTCACTGGTTTTACTCCAGCCTTCGGAGAGCGCGCGTCCGCGTTCGCATGAATTTCCTCCTTTTTTTAAATTCCTGAGTGGCAGCTATGTAATCTTTGGGCTTTATTATATGTGCTCGAATTCTTGGGACTATGAGGAGCCATTTATGATTTACTACCATTTTCAGCAATCTGTCTGCTAGACACCTGTAATGTTCAGAAGAACTGTGGTGTCCCAGCTACACAGATAAGAGCAATCTCCGCTTAATAGCAAGCTAAGCCCATAAAGCAGAAATTTTCCGATAAATAACTCCCTACGATAGCAACCTTTTCCTCAAACAGAGGATTACAGAATACGGAATTTTCCTCTTCACTGCTATATAAATTGTCCATGGAAGTGTTTTATGAAGATGCACAATCAGTGTACACTGACACTAGCGCTAGCCTTTAATTTCAAAGTGTGTGTGATCTCTCCTTTCTGAAATAACTGTCAGGGCAAAAATGCAGTAGGCTGAACAAAGGAGCTTAGTTCATATACCCTCGTGCCAAGAGCCGCTTTTTATCAAGATTCTAAGGGGAAAAATCCTACGATTAGGACCCATGAGTGTGTTTTTTTGGGTAGGGGTTATCATTATCTTTGAAGTTTACACCACGAGGGCCCCCGCCCCTGCCATGAGTAGGGGGACATTTTTATCGAGTACCTTGGTCTTTCTGCTGAGATTTGTATCCCTCTGCTCCCGTGTTCACCCTGACAGGCAGGGGCGGAAGCCCGACTGCTAAATTATCTAAATTGTGTAGATGGGGGCGTAAAGACGCCTTTTAAATCTTTCAAGCATTCAGCTGATTCCTGTTACTGTTTGTCCTCATCTGGACCATCTAGATAGGAAAAGATAAAGATTTATTGTCCCGTTCCTGGCTCATTTGTTTGGTGTTTCTCCACATACACACACTCACTCTCTCTCTCTCACAAGTCCTATCTTTTGTGATTGTGTAATAATGGTTTAATTAATTAACTTGTTCTCTCTCCCCTTTCTGTCTTTCTGCTCAGATGTGTGTGGTGTATCCTTCTGAACCAGGGTTGACCCTGACAGGCGGCGTCGGAAGCCTGCCTCCTAGATTATCTTCATTGTTTTGATGGGGGCATAGTAAAACACCTTTTTTTTTTCTTTTTTTAAAATTAATTTTTTTTTTTTCACAAGTCAAGCAATCAACAATGAATCATCTAATTCTATAAATTTTTGTGGTTGTGTAATGATGATTTAATTGATTTGCTCTCTGTCCTCCTCCCCCAGTTATCGGGGAAGTGCTGTCGGCCAAGGTACAAGCCCAGCTGGCTGCCAACTCTGAGGGCGGGGCTGCTCCGGCCGCCGTGAAGTCTTAACCTTGTTGGGGTGGGGGTTCTGGTCGTGGGATGGGAGGAGAGCTTTGTGTGTGAAGTGTGTGCGTCTGTACATAATTTATCTACTTCCCTTTCCCCCCCCCCCCTAAAACCCGAAAAAAATATGAGGTAGTGAGCAGAATTCTCTTGTCTGGTGTGCTAGTCTGGATGTGTGAGTGAGCATTGTACATGTTCTGCATGTATTATATGTGTGCCGTAGGGTTAAAGGATCAACATGCATATATATATATTATTATATATATATAAATATATGTATGTATAGCAATGGCGAGTGCACAGGGGGTTTGATTGGCTTTTCAACATTTTCTTAAGCTTGCTTTACCTGCCTTAGATCCAAAAGGATAATTGGGTGGTTTCAAAGAAAATGAAATCAGTTAGGAATTCCCTATCACTCTTTCTCACGGCATGTTCTTGCTGTCTGCCATTGATCCTGGTACTAAATGACAATGTATTTTTTAATCTTTTTTTTTTTTCTTTCTTTATTATAAGCTGGCCCACTGTCCTTGTTCAGGGCATTTTTGTTTTATTATTGGGTATTCCGTCACTGCCATTTCTCCTTCTCTCCTGACCTCTCAGGTTCCAGTCTCTGGTCGCAATGACTCCACAGATGAGTAGATAACGAGTGATATAATGAGCTCAGCTCCTTCTGCTTCATTTCAGCACAGCGATGCCATTTTCCCCCCATTTTATTTATCTGCAATTTTTTTTTCTATCATGTTCACTTGAAGAACATCTGTTACTCTTTTTGTTGTCTGTTTAACCTCATTTAAGTTGTATCTATTAAAATGTCTTCTTTTCTCCCCCTTTTTTAAAAGTTTTTCTCAAATGCAAGTTTGTAGATTTTTAAAGGTATTTTCACAATATTTCAGTGGCATACCCGGAGCTAGTGCTCTTTTCGAAAAGACTCGCTGCATTTAGTAGACTGTCAACACTTTATAAGAAGTGAGAAAAAGGAGATGTGTGTGTTGCTCTCCAGAGAATGGTGAGAAGCTCAGGGTTTCACAGTGGTCCGTATTGAAGGATGCACCACTTGCTGAGTGTGTCTGGATTTAAAGTTGCACGCTGTCCCCTGGGTCACTGTCTGTATTTGTTTTATTTCTCCATTTACTCTTCTTTTTCCCCCTTATTTTGCTCTGTGCTTTTCTCGCTCTCTCTCTTGTCTCTTCTCTTACTCTCTCTCTCTCTCTCTCTCTCTCGTCTCTTCTCTTACTCTCTCTCTCTCTCTCGTCTCTTCTCTTACTCTCTCTCTCTCTCTCTTCCCCTCTCTCTCTCTTTTTCGTGGGAGTGAATGCGTTGTTTATGATGAAATGTGGGAAGTTTGTTGAGAGTGCCGTCTCCCCCCTGCTGCTCCTACTCCTAGTTTTTGCTTTTGTCAAGTCCCGCTGGTATCAACTGAGTTGGGTTTTCTTCTCACCCTTGGGATGAATTGAGCAGGTTATCATTTAGTTGGACTCAAAACTCCCGTCTCTGCTCCTCTTTCTTTTGTATTTCTCCCAAAGGGGCGAATTAGACTGCAAGGTGACTAGCAAATTATTGCGAAAATATTTTGGTTTGACTATTTTGTATTTCTCCCAAAAGGGCGAATTAGACTTCAAAATTATACAAATTATTGCAAAAATATTTTTGTTTGACTATTTTGTATTTCTCCCAAAGGGGCGAATTAGTCTGCAAGGTGGCTAGCAAATTATACAAATTATTGCAAAAATATTTTGGTTTGACTATTACTTACGTGTGTGTGTATAAAGCTGCCAGTCTTGATGTGCTTTTCAGGAAATAACATTTTCTGTTATGGATAATAAATTTTTTTAACGCATTCTATACACTGTTCACTTTTTGTGCTTGTTTTCGTACTCTGTGTTGTGCATTTATTGTGTATAGTAGTCTCTTTTGGTTAAGATTTCTATCCATTGGTGTCTGTGTTACAGCAGACCCATGTTCGATTCCCATGTGGGTAGAATTGTTATTGAGTATCTCAGTCATGGGACATTGTAGCCTTCTCAGCCCAGGTTGGCCGTAACAACAGGCAGGGTTGAAGCCAGCCTCCTAAATTTTGTAAATCGTAGCGATGGAGTGTGAAACACATATATGTGAGGCAGCGTGGTGGAATCAGGCTCTCGTCAAAATAATGAAATCGAAGAAAACGGCAGTTTTCTCCCTGCTAAGCAAATTTGATCAAATTTTTGTTTTTTGGCTCAACACCTTTTATGTCCATTTACAAACACATTCCTTTGAGGATTTCACTGAATACGTTGATTAAAGGAACATAAATATAAATTTACAGTTTCCATGGACTCTTCAGCTTTGGAATTTACTAAGTTTGGCTGCCATTTTCTCGCAAATTTTACCTCTTAAACCTGGTGACCCCACCTCCTTCAATCCAAAATATCTCCACTTCTATTGAAGATGGATGGGTAATTTTTTTTCATTGAAAGCAAGACAAATGAACAAGCTTTAAGATGATACCAATAACTCTTTATGTTCAAAAATTGACGAGAGCCTGATTCCACCACGCTGCCTCACATTTATACAGTATAACCCTCTCTGGTATAACACGGATAGCTAGAATTCGTCGGGACCTGCCTCGACCGTTCGAGGGATACGTGAACAGTGTTATTGCATCGGCTGTGTCAGAAAATCGAGGGAAGCATTAAAGATTGGGTCGGAACAGATTTTTTTTATTTTTTTTTCCCCCCATTTTCCTAGATCAGACTCAGAGAGGTTAGAGTTAGATCTATGTCTATTGACTTGAATTTGAAATTTGACAGTGAGAGAATTTGAAATTGACAGATTGAGAAAGAGAAACGCGATGAACAACGCTATCGGGGTCGATCGGTGATGAGCCTACCAGTACCAAGACAGTTTGATTACGCGGGTCAGTGTGAGTGGTCATTAGTCTGCTCCAATCGAACGGTGCCTTTTCAAATTTTTCAAAACTATTTGACAAGATAAGCATTTGCAACAGTAATCAACAATGTGGTGGCGAAATGATGCAGTCCTACCTCACCTCTCCCACCAAGCACACAGTCCTTTGCAAAGAGGGGTTGAGCGGGCGGTCTTGTGTAGCACAACCTCTCCTCTCGCACGGTCCACACAAGCCTAGCTAGGTCTAGGAGGACCTAGGCACGCTAGGAGGGCATGCGTGTCGAGCAGCACGCTTTAAAAAAGCACATCTAGCTGCTTCTGAGGAGGAGGGGGGGGGAGGGTTGGTGTCTTACTACTGACCTTGCCTTTTTCCATTAAAAAAAAATTATTATTTAATTTTGTCTCAAGTGCACCTCAAAAGACATTGGCTTTAGACCTCTTCAGCGGCATAATTAGTTCGAATGTACCCTGTTTGTGTTCGAGCTTGGCATCTTTTTTTTAAAGATAAAGGAGAAGAAAAACAGCCACAGGCACAGTTTGACGGATGCGTGATTTTGAGTAATCTGTGTTCGATGTATCCGGGTTATGCTGTATATTTTTGCAGAATGACTATAAAACTCTTTTACAGAATAAAATAAGTATAAAAGTCTTATTAAAACTAAAACTAAAACCCGGAGACATGATCTAGAAATGTTCTCATGGAGTTTTTTTTGTTGAATAGCTCCATCTGTCTGGATGCTGTTCAGTATCTCCCCTCAGACTCAGACGGGGTCGAAGCTACCTGCCTTCTCTATAATGATTTGTGGCTTCGGTTGCCAAGTGGTTAGGCTCTCAGACTCGCAATCGTAAGGTCATGGGTTCAAATCTCATAAGGAGCCCAATGCTGAGCCCTTAGCAAAGGCTTTTTTCATGAATTTTCCCCACTTCATCCAGGCGGGAATGAGTACCCAGCTATAGACAGCGAAAGATCTTGTCTTTGTTTGAAAGTTTAAGCATGTGTGATCTATAGCTTGCAATGTATGCTTCCTGGGAAGCCGAGAATGTTTCTGAATGTTCCACAGGAACAGTATAAATGATTTCTTGTACATGTAAGATCTTCTTTTTTTTATTTTTTCAAATAAAACGTTTACTTCATCAAATGGAAGTCTGGTGCCATGTACATGCATGCATTTTGAATCTAATTAGTATTTGGGAGTGCTTATTTGGGCCACATATGGCCTAAATAAGGTAAGGGAGGGGGGTTTAGCTTATTTAGGCCACAGGTGGCCTAAATAAGGTAAGGGAGGGGGGTTTAGCTTATTTAGGCCACACATGCTCAAACTACCAGGGGACACCCTTTTAAGGCAACTGAGTTCGTTCCACTTTCATAATGGTGCACCTTTCTCATTTAGTACAGTTTTGTCTCAGTGTACAACTTATATATATCATAATGAATATTGTAAGAACAAAGCACGATACGCAAAGTTTTGCTCAATCTCAATGGTTTGAATGAGGGCCAGATTTTTCCTTCATGGAGGGGCAAAATCTAGGCTACCATTTTGGCACACTTTGGTCAAGTAAAAAGGTCAAATCCTCCGAATGGACTTCCGGGTCAAATTTGGGGTATAAAAAGTGTGTACACAACGTGGCTGAGTCAAAGTTACACTATCTTTGCCTGGGTGGCACTCTCTCGTACTGTCTCGTAGTAGTACATCTCTCGTACTGTCTAGTAGTAGTAGCCTACATGTAGATGTAGTAGTAGTAGTAGTAGTAGTAGTAGCAAAGATCGAGAAGAATCTTTGGTAGTAGATTCTATCTAGTAGGCAGTTTAGTGAACGTGCACGCGGCAGGGCGAATCGGCCTCGATAAGCCCCGTAGACCTTTGTGATCGGCCACGAAGCCTTGTGTTTTGATGGGTCTAAACAACTTAGTGTTAATCGCACTGCCACATCCGACAGGCCTTTATCTTTTTAAAAGGAAAAGAAATGGTCATCAAAATGGTTGAATTTGCGTGAAAATCGATTCGGTAGAACTGTAACTATTAAAATTTGCTTCTGAAAACAAGTTACAAGGCCATTTTTATAACTCGATGAGATAAAAACTACTAGCTGTATTATTCTGTATAAATTATGAAACTTCAGGACGTATTATTATTTTCCAACATCTTTTGCCGCCTTAGCTGTAGAGGTTGAAGTTTTCACAACACTAATAGATCTAGTAATAGGGCTTTCCGTAAAAAATGCATAGATCTACAAAAGCCGAACCACCGAATCGACCGGTCAGCGACCCGGGCACCCCGCTCTCCCCTGCACACTGTGATAACATGTTGCTTCGGTATAATTATTCAACTATTAATACGTGCTGCTATGGCAATTGGGATGTACTGACTGACAAAGCGATTCACAGTTTTGTTTTTATTTTACCATATATTTGACTTTAATAGTGCAGGTGATAGCTAGATCTAGATCTAGATTCCCTGTCTAGAATCAGTAGTAGCAGACAAATGTTAGAAGCAGCCAGAGAGCCTACAACTGCTAGATCTAGATCTAACTCATTGCTATGCCTTTGGGCTTTGGAATTGAAATAAAACGAATTGCACAGTTCTAGTTAATTTTAGATTCAGCAACTATCTGTATTTCCAGAATTAATAATAACAAATCTCACCATAACAATCACTTTTACTTTTATTAGAATAATTAGATCAACTTTTTTTTCTAAAATCTGTTTTGCGCAAACTTAAGACTTTCTCTACGTGTAGAGCACAGAATTTACATTGTGAGGCTCTGCTCAGTCTTTTATTTTTAAGTATATACTTAATAAAATGCGTATAGATATAGATCTATATACTCATTTTATGTTATTTTCTGGATATTGTTAAAAACGGGGTCTACCTAGCAAAATACTAGGTTTTAGGACAGGTGGACCCCGGGGTCACCGTAGTGAAATACATGTAAGTAGATTTATTTAAAGATTAGTAGACCCCGGGGTCACCGTAGTGAAATAAGTAGGTTTAATTTTAAAAGGATTGGTGGACCCCGGAGTCACCATAGCCGTAGAGGAATAAGAAGGTTTAATTAAGAATTGGTGGACCCCCGGGACACTGTGATTAAACCTACTTATTTTACTACGGTGACCGCATGGTCCACCTATTCTAAAACCTAACTAGTATTAAATTTCGTTAGGTAGACCCTGGGGTCCACCTTAAACCTAAACCTTCCTATTTCACTACGTTGACTCCTGGGTCCACCAATCCTTAAAATTAAACCTAGATCTACATGTACTTATTTCACTACGTTGACCCCAGGGTCCACCAAACCTTAATTAAACCTAGATCTACTTATAATTTCACTACGTTGACCCAGGGGTCCACCAATCCTTATTAATTTAAACCTAGATCTACTTATAATTTCACTACGTTGACCACGGGCTCCGCCAGTCTTACTATAAAATAAACTGAGATCTACTTATTTCACTATGTTGACCCCGGGGTCCACCGATCCTTAGTCAAACCTAGATCTACTTATTTCACTACGCTGATTCCAGGGTTCACATCCTAAAACAGCATTTTGTTAGGTAGACCCCGCGGTCCACCTATCCTTTTGGGGCTAGATAGACCCCGTGGTCCGCCTATCCACTTCCTTGATAATAACTGGAAAACATGCCAGTTGTCATGAATAGTGAAGAAATATGTGAAAAAAAAAAGATAACGAGGTAGACGATAATTTGTCAAAAAAATTGCAAGTGCAAGTGAAAATCATAAGATAATTTTGTTATTTTCTGGTGATCTTTTCACGGTTTATAAAATGTTCCAGTGGGCTTACTACTAGATCTATGTCTCTGAAAAACATTTTGCTTGATTTTATTAGCTTTTTTCATGTACTTGAAAGCATAGAATAAAATAGTTTCACACAAATGTATGCACAATACCTTAAAAAAGAAAGATAAGGTCATTGTTGTTGTTGTTTTTTTTACGGAATCCGTTTTACGTTGAAAAAAGCGCTAAAAACAAGTTTAAATTTTTTAAAGAATGCCCATAATATTAGGAATCCGAAATTACTACCTTGATCTAGTTTGCTGACTCTTTAATAACCATGAGCTGTTAAGAAAAAAAGAGAATGATATAGGATTTGTCTAAATATGACCATTAGTATTAGCATTAGTAAGATATTGCCCATTTTGTCCAATTATCCTTGCAGGTTTTAATCACCCTGTACTGCACCTCAATAAGCACAAAAAGAATATTTCTGTGACTTTGTATAAAGGTGTTTTGTAGTTGAGTTCTATGTAAAATTCTCAACAAAATAATGTACATTTGGACCGTACAACTGAGATAGACACTCATGCACACAATAACATTCACACATTACACACATACAAACACACTACTACATTTACTCTCTCTCTCTCTAGATCTCTCTCTCTCTCTCTCACCACAACCACACACAAAACAAACACATACACACACACACACACACAACTCTTACACTTGGTCCACTTATTTAGAATCATCCTCTATTTTGAAATAATCCCCCGCACTAAATAAAAAGATTAGTAGAATTTCGACCTTCCGAATCCATGGTTAGTTCAAGAAATCTACCATATGATGTGGCCTAAATAAGGTAAGGGAGGGGGGTTTAGCTTATTTGGGCCACAGTGTGGCCTAAATAAGGTAAGGGAGGGGGGTTTAGCTTATTTAGGCCACACTGTGGCCCAAATAAGGTCACCCTTAGTATTTAGTATCAGCTGTGTTTTTCTTCGCTGCTTTCATAATATAATATTACTATTACATGTATATTATGGTAAATCTTAGAGAAAAAGATTCGCGAGGGAGGGGGGGGGGGGGGGGGGCACGAAAAGATACATAATGAGGGCCTGGGTACAGTTGTGATTTTTTTAAATGAAAAAAAAGGATTTGTTTTTTTTTCTCTTCCGATTTCTTCCTGACCCGATTTAGCAGCTTGCCAGCGACATAGCAAGTTATTTGTGAGATGTGCTGACAAAATGAGTTAGTTCTCACGACCCAAGAATGGAGATGTCGGCTGAAAATCAAAACTGGGGTCACATTTATAGATTTTCAACTGATGACATTTTGTTCAAGTTTACTGTGTCTTTTACTATTCCATGCTCACAAATTGTACAAACTCCACCTTTAAATTGATGTATCGATTTCCATACGGCTAAAATACGAGAAGTAACTCATTTTGTCAGCACACCTCACATTTTTTAATGATACATTTTTGTACATAGTGTTAACAGTCAGTGCAAGGCAAAGTACATGTACACAGTGAGCACCTTTTCGGATTGTTCGCCCTCCTGGGGATCATTCTCTGTCACAGAGTGTCTGTTTGATCTGATCTATCGCTCTGTCGTCAACGTGACGAAATCTGAAAAGAAGTGACGTCGAATTTAGTGTTGGGATGGAATTTTGGGCTTGTCTATTTCTTCATCATTTTCAGCACGTAGGCCTACGGCTTGTGCGACTAACGAATGGATACATTATAATGTACTTGATTAAATTTTCCTAAAGTAGTGTTCTGATCCCATTACTCGACACCCATGCTCAGAACTTTTATCATAATTAACCCCCCCCCCCCCCCAAAAAAAAGGAGAAATATTTAAACAATTACATAGACCCATTTGTTATTATTTTATTATATAGGCCTAGTCTATTTATTTTTTTAAGTCGGGTTTTTTCGGAGGAAAATTGGGCATCTCGGGTGGATGAAAAAGGGGGAGGGCCTGGAAGAGAGTGTACTTCATATAATATATGTAATATGTAGTTTATAACTTTTGCTGTAACGTATTGTATTTTGAAATATTCCGCAGTGGAGATGATATCTACGGGTGCAAATTATTATTATTATTATTATTATTATTATTATTATTATCTATTTTATCATTAAATTGTAAGATTACTATTACTATTCTTGTTGTTGCTGTTGTTATTATTATTTTTATTATTATTATTATTATTATTATTATTATTATTATTATTATTATCATTATTATTATTATCAACTTGTTATTGTTATTATTATCATCCTATTATTATTATTATTATTATTATTATTATTATTATTATTATTATCATCATCATCATTATTATTTCACTATCATCATCATCATGAATTTAAAAAAGGCTCAGATAAATGATAGACCGTTACACAGTACCGTTTTGAGAAAACATGTAGAGTATACAGAGGTCTATAGTAGAAAGTCTATAAAAGGTCCCCCAAACCTCAAAAACAAACAAATGAGCGTGAAAATGTCCACTAAAAGCTAAAAAAAAATAATTTTTTAATGAGCGCGAAAATGTTCACTAAAAGCTAAAAAAAATAAGCGTGAAAATGTCCACTAAAAGCTAAAAAAAAAAAACAATTTAAAAAATGTGCGTGAAAATAACCACTAAAAGCTAAAAAAATAATAATTTAAAAAATGTGCGTGAAAAGGTCCATTAAAAGCTAAAAAAAAATAATTTAAAAAATGAGCGTGAAAATGTCCACTAAAAGCTAAAAAAAAAAAAAAAAATTTTAATGAGCGTGAAAATGTCCACTAAAAGCTAAAAAAAAATAATTTTTTAATGAGCGCGAAAATGTTCACTAAAAGCTAAAAAAAATAATTTTTTAATGAGCGCAAAAATGTTCACTAAAAGCTAAAAAAAATAAGCGTGAAAATGTCCACTAAAAGCTAAAAAAAAATAACAATTTAAAAAATGTGCGTGAAAATAACCACTAAAAGCTAAAAAAATAATAATTTAAAAAATGTGCGTGAAAAGGTCCATTAAAAGCTAAAAAAAAATAATTTAAAAAATGAGCGTGAAAATGTCCACTAAAAGCTAAAAAAAAAAATAATTTTTTAATGAGCGTGAAAATGTCCACTAAAAGGTAAAAAAAAATTATTTTAAAAATGAGCGTAAAAATGTCCACTAAAAGCAAAAAAAAATTATTTTTTTCAATGAGCGTGAAAATGTCCACTAAAAGCTTTAAAAAAATGATTTAAAAAATGAGCTTGAAAATGTCCACTAAAAGCTTAAAAAAGAAAATGTTTTTAAATGAGCGTGAAAATGTCCATTAAAAGCTAAAAAAAAAAAGAGCGTGAAAATGTCCACTAAAAGCTAAAAAAACAAAATTAAATAAAAATGAGCGTGAAAATGTCCATTAAAAGCTAAAAAAAATGAGCGTGAAATTGTCCACTAAAAGCTAAAAAAAATAGGAATCATTTTTAAAAAAGAGCGTGAAAATGTCCACTAAAAGCAAAAAAAAATTATTTTTTTCAATGAGCGTGAAAATGTCCACTAAAAGCTTTAAAAAAATGATTTAAAAAATGAGCTTGAAAATGTCCACTAAAAGCTTAAAAAAGAAAATGTTTTTAAATGAGCGTGAAAATGTCCATTAAAAGCTAAAAAAAAAAAGAGCGTGAAAATGTCCACTAAAAGCTAAAAAAACAAAATTAAATAAAAATGAGCGTGAAAATGTCCATTAAAAGCTAAAAAAAATGAGCGTGAAATTGTCCACTAAAAGCTAAAAAAAATAGGAATCATTTTTAAAAAAGAGCGTGAAAATGTCCACGAAAAGCTAAAAAAAAATAAGATAAAATGGGCGTGAAAATGTCCACTAAAAGCTAAAAAAAAAATTTTAAAAATGAGCGTGAAAATGTCCATTAAAAGCTAAAAAAAAAAAAAAAGAAAATGAGCATGAAAATGTCCACTAAAAGCTAAGAAGAAAATAATTTAAAAAATGAGCTTGAAAATGTCCACTAAAAGCTACAAAAATAATAATTTAAAAAATGAGCGTGAAAATGTCCACTATAAGCTAAAAAAAAAATTAAATAAAATGAGCGTGAAAATGTCCACTAAAAGCGAAAAAAGAAAAAAAATTTTAAAGAGGGTGAAAATGTCCACTAAAAGCTAAAAAGAAGAAAATGAGCGTAAAAATGTCCACTAAAAGCTAAAAAATAAATTAATTTAAAAAATAAGCGTGAAAATGTCCACTAAAAGCTAAAAAATTTTTTTATAAAATGAGCGTGAAAATGTCCACTAAAAGCTAAAAAAATAATAATTTAAAAAATGTGCGTGAAAAGGTCCATTAAAAGCTTTTAAAAAATAATTTAAAAAATGAGCGTGAAAATGTCCACTAAAAGCTAAAAAAAAATAATAATTTTTTAATGAGCGTGAAAATGTCCACTAAAAGGTAAAAAAAAATTATTTTAAAAATGAGCGTAAAAATGTCCACTAAAAGGTAAAAAAAAAAATAATTTTTTAATGAGCGTGAAAATGTCCACTAAAAGCTTAAAAAAAAATGAGCTTGAAAATGTCCACTAAAAGCTTAAAAAAGAAATATTTTAAAAATGAGCGTGAAAATGTCCACTAAAAGCTAAAAAAAATAGGAATCATTTTTTAAAAAGAGCGTGAAAATGTCCACCAAAAGCTAAAAAAAAGAAAAATGAGGGTGAAAATGTCCACTAATAGCTAAAAAAAAAAAATGAGCGTGAAAATGTCCACTAAAAGCTTTTAAAAAATGAGCGTGAAAATGTCCACTAAAAGCTAAATAAAAAAAAAAATTTAATAGCGTGAAAAATGTCCCCTAAAAGCTAAAAAAATTTTTTTTTTTTTAAAGAACGTGAAAATGTCCACTTAAAGCTAAAAAAAAAATGAGCGTGAAAATGTCCACTAAAAGCTAAAAAAAAAATAATTTAAAATATCAGCGTGAAAATGCCCACTAAAAGTGTTTTTTTTTAAAATAATTTTTAAAAAATGAGCGTGAAAATGTCCACTGAAAGCTTTAAAAAAATAATAATTTAAAAGATTGGCGTGAAAATGTCCACTAAAAGCTAAAAAAAAATAATTTAAAATATCAGCGTGAAAATGTCCACTAAAAGCTAAAAAAAAAAATATTTTTTTTAAATGAGCGTGAAAATGTCCACTAAAAGCTTGATAAAAATAATTCAAAAGATTGGCGTGAAAATGTCCACTAAAAGCTAAAAAAATTATATTTTAAAATGTGCGTGAAAATGTCCACTAAAAGCTAAAAAAAAAAATTAATTTAAAAAATGTGCGTGAAAATGTCCACTAAAAGCTAAAAAAAAAAGTATTTAAAAAATGTGCGTGAAAATGTCCACTAAAAGCTAAAAAAAAATAATTTAAAAGATTGGCGTGAAAATGTCCACTAAAAGCTAAAAAAAACAAAATTTTAATGAGCGTGAAAATGTCCACTAAAAGCTTTAAAAAATAATTTAAAAGATTGGCGTGAAAATGTTCACTAAAAGCTTTAAAAAAAATAATTTTTTAATGAGCGTGAAAATGTCCACAAAAAGCTAAAAAAAAAAAAAAAATGAGCATGAAAATGTCCACCAAAACTCAGAAACAAACAAATGAGTGCGACTATGTCTACTGTTACCTCTCATGTTCCTCTCGGAGATTGTCGTGGTAAACTTCGAGAAACGGCAAATCCAACAGACTCTTCTTGAACCTGAAACAAAGATTTCAGTCATGGGTTGTTGCTTTTATCTTTGGTTACCACTTTAACCAAAGATTCTCTACTTTGCTAAACTGTAGTCTATTGACAACATCATGTACCTAAATTAGCCAACTCTCGCAAGTTGGTTCTTCTTGTGCAGTAGTTAGGACATTAACTTAAAATTTAACTCGTACAGAACACGTCTAGTCATCCCAAAATGTTTTGGTTTTTTTAATGAACGCGCTGTTTAGCGGCATTATAAAAGTTAGAAATTAAATGTAACTATTAATACAAAATGTTCAATAAAATTTGTTTCTTAATATAAACAAGTGAGAGTTGTTCCCACATCCGATCCGGACATTGGGGATTGTCTTGTTAGTGAGACAACTTCCTGGACTTTCGGCATATTGTGGTAGGGTGGTCAGTTTCTTTCCACGCCGCCTTTACTTCCCCAAGTCGAAGTCAGGTACCCATTACTGCTGGGTGGGCAGGAGGGAGCGAAAAAAATGCGTCTTCAAACCGAGGCTCGAACCTGGACTTTCCGCTTCGGAGACGAGCGCACTAAGTTTAACCGCTCCACCATCGCACCCTCACTAATCTAAAATCATAGCATTATAGATCTAGGTGCTGTCACGTTACAATATTATTATGTAACAAATATCCCATTAATTAAAGTAAAAAAAAGAAGGGTGGGGGTGGGGGGGGGGGGGGGGGGAGAGAGAGAAAGAAAGAAAAAGAAAACAAACTTGGGTAAGCCATAGATCCAACATTCGACCGGTTCGGCCTTGACCTCGTCCAGCAATGTCACCTGACATTTTGTCCGCAGGTACCAGGCCGGGTGATCCTCGAACCAGTCCAGGTAGGCCAGAGTCTCGTCGTTCACCCGGTACAACTCTCCCGTGATTTGCTGCACGATGAACCCAAAAAAATAAATATAAATAAATGAAAATAATTAAAAATTAAAAATTTAAGATAAAAAACCACTGTGAGTAGACTAGTATCATAACTAAACCCTTTCAACCATTATTATTTAGGTGCAGTCAAGCCCAGTCTTTAGGCCACCTGTGATTTGCTGCACGATGGGGAGAACTGAAAAGATCAGTGTGAATTGTAGCACAATATTTACGCCCTTTTCTGTCACGTTTAGGTACAGTCAAACCTAGTCTTACGGTCACTTGTCCAAAACATCCACAGGTACAAATGACCACTTTCTTTTTAGCTATTCCCCAACTCCTTTCGTTTTTGTTTGTTTGTTTGTTTGTTTGTTGTTGTGTTTTTCTTTATTATTATTATTATCATAAAGACACTGTGCAAGACATCTACCTGTATAAGACAACCATTTTTCTCCTCGACGATAGGTGGTCATCTTGGACAATAACAATAATAATAATAATAATAATAATAATAATAATAATAATAATAATAATAATAATAATAATAGATAGATAGCATTAAATTTTGTATAGCGCATAACCCCGCTCGAAAGCAAGCTCTATATGCGCTTTACATTATATTATTACCCCAGCAGACCGTAGAACACTCAGAAACATTCTCAGCTTCCCGGAAAGCATACAGTGCAAGCAGCTGATTAAGCGCTCAAACACTAACAAACTGACAAAATTTTTCACTGTCTATTCAATAAACTGTAGCCTATGTGTGCACCGAAGTCGTCTGTGGTGTAGCGGTTAGAGGCTTCGACATCGCATGCAGAAGACTTGAGTTCGATTCCCGTGTGGAGAGCATAAATTTCATTTAAACAACCAACCAAAGTTTGAGAAGAGAGACAAGTTATCAGTCGCCAAGAATGGCAATTTAAAAAACAGAAGTCGAAAAACTTACCGTGTGCTTTGTGCTACACCAGCCCACCTTGAACTTAGCACGCAGTCAACACATTATGCACACGCACGCATGGCATACTTCTATGGCAATAATAGATGCGATAATAATAGCAATTTAAAGGCGAAATCTAAAGATGATCTTGCCTTCAGGCGTTGGTGGGGATAATAAGTCCCTTATATCACATCTTTATTGTGTCCGTCGTTTTGTGGTCGTGTCGGACTTCGTATCTTATGGAGTGACAATTATACATCAACAGGCCTAGATACGTAATTATTATAATGAATGCCTATATTATTAATCAAATATAATATATTATATTATGTGTTAAATGCAATAGTAGACACGCGCGCACACACACACACACACACACACACACACACTCACACACACACACACACGCGCGCGCATTATCAATAAAAAATCCTAGTTGGTGGTTTCTGCTGATTTCCAAAGGTTTACAGCAGGGACGGTATCGCTTTTAAAAGCAAGTCCGCCTTTTTTTCCCCAGATCTAATAGCGAGATTTTCTTTATAGAACGCGTTTTGAGAACTGTGCAAGAAAGAGTTCTCTGTAAAATTATTCTTGTGACTAGTTTTGCCTCTAAAAATTGTCATTGGTGAGTTGTGACGTAACCCATATGCGTATACTATACAAAATGTGTGTGAGGAGTGGAAAGTGCAGTGAACAATTATATTTTCCGCAGGTTTCTAGTATTTCATATAAATTTATGAAGAAACGTTTTTTTTTTAAATTTAGCCTAAATTGTTGTGGAAAAATATGATTAAGTTAAGACAAATTGAGACAAACTACTGTGCAAAGTATGGGTGAGGGTGATCCACTCCTTATAAAGATATTTGAGGATAAGTTGCGCCACGAATTTTTAACCACACTATAAAAGGGAAGTTTGCAATATAGTCAGTTTAATTTATCTTTTATCATTACTTTCTAGAAATTTATCTTATTTTATTTTGTTTTAAAAGATTTATATTATTATATAATTTTTTTAGA